GAGCCAAAAGCAGAGCCGAAGGTAGCTGCATCCGTGACCTGGATTTGCTCAAACTATCTCAAATCTGGGGCAAACAGGACATCACATGTCAACCACACTTATTCTTACTCCCGTCAGAGAATATCCACCGAAGTCGAGCCTCTCGAGTGAGACGATTCGAGACGAACTCGGATGGCCGGGAGATCGAGAATTTCTTAATGAGTGCCTGAAATTGGGTCCATACTGTTTGTGAGATGAAAGAATTATAATATATTCCCTAAGAGTCATAAGACGGTTGTTTAAACAGTCGTTTGCTGAAAGACGGTTTCTCAAACAGTCTTAAGGTTTCACGATGGTTTCACGATTTCACGCTCGTTCACGCCCCCCTTCCCATAGGCCCTCACTGGCCCTCACCCAAGTCTTTTCTCTCACTCAGCATCACTCAGCCATGCTCATTGGGTGAACCTGGATAGGAGCCTCTTCCGTGCACTTTGGTTGAGCCTTAGGATCACCGCAAAAAGACACCACACATCATCACACCATAAAGAGCCATGAGATCATCGCAATGCTGCCAAGTAGCGATGAGATACGAATCTTCGTAGACCAAAGCCTGCCAACATGAGTGACTAGCCGGCCACAACCAGTTTTGGAACCACCTTCATCATGCATTTTGCCTTAGTCGCGATACCTTCATGATGCGCTGGATCCGCCGTTTTGGATGCGATCTCATATAACAGCCTGCCACCAAAATCCACTCATTCAAATAGAACCCTCACTCACTCACTCACTCACTCACTCAAATAGAACTCACATACAAGGTCGCTAGGTTTCTACATGGGCCTTTAAGCCAGGCCATAGCATCTTCATCCACAAAGCAGTGCCACATGCGAGCGTTCACACCTCAGCTCCATAGAGCTGAGTAGTTCCACGTTCACAGACATGTCATAGCATCCAGTTTTGTTCCTTATGTTCAGGTTTTTTGTTTTCCCTCATGCCAAACTCAAACCGAGACACGGTGTTTGCGAGCAATCTTAATAACGTGATAGAGACCCTGGGCATTCGGCTCCGACCATTGCAGGGAAAAATCTTGCAAAAACACAACAGCCCGGTTAATTGAGACTAGATTCATGAGCTTTCGGCCGCATCAACCATTCATGTTTTGATAGCCTCCCGGAGTGTCGCTCAAACACAACAAAAACCTGGCTCAACAAAACACCCTGTGCAGTGAAGGGAAGAAGGGTCCCACCTTATGCTTTCTTTCCATAAAAGCTTCCAAAGCTGCAAGAACTTGATACCATCAGTCCATATGTTATCAGCTTGCTCAGCACTCCTTGAAACCCACTCTTGCAAGAATGTGACATACGTAGACAGTCATGAACCTTGATATCACACACACATATGAATTCACCGGGGGCACAAGAAGCGGGGCGCGGACTCCATGTGGTTGAGCATTCGCACGATGTGCGTCCTTGGCAAGGTGCCCAAGACGGGCAGAAGGGACATGGAGGCATAGAAGCTACAAATGTCGAGATGAGATGACATGATCGACATATTAGACAAATCACTGTGCCAACGCGGCCATAGGGAGTCGTGAGTCTTCAGCAAGGAAAACTTCTTGGGTAGCAGCATCGCGGGCACATTCCCCCAACCACTCTGCTACGCACCGGCCATTGTAGGCTTTACATGTGAGGAGCACGTCATTGGTGCGCCACTTCATCAACTCAGCAGAGATGTTTGGTAATTATGTTACGAGTTATTGCTGGCTGTGTCCGGGGTCAACTATACAAGTCTCATAAAATTTGAAGACAAGTAGCTAAACCCACTGTGAACATGGGTTGGCTGCAGCTAACATTGGTCCTCTTACACCACCGCTTAAACTTCTCATGTGCTTTTGCCAGCTTCATTCGCAGGCTGTCACCCATCGGGGCAAAATAGCCAATGTCACAAAGCATTTTCCTTGGTCAGAAAAAGAAGACGACTGTTCTAGCGAGATGCCCAATCCAAGGTCAGTGCACTTGTAGATCGAATGTGAATCCAAGAATCATGCAGGCACCGTTCGAAACGTACAAGATTCCTAAATGGACCACGTGCATGGTGCACCACTTTATCAGTCCAGGATGGAAATTGGCCAGGCACACCAGAGGGCCTGAGAGCTAAGGAAAGAAACAGTGAGGAAGGAACAAGGGAAATTGTCTACTAACATGTATATACATGTTGGTCAAACAGAAAATAAAATAGAATATGTTGTTAGTTCAGTCGCCTAGAGGCAGACACCCTTAGGGGGCATCCGTTTGGTCAGGAACTCTCCCAAAGAGAAGTCATGATCATCCCAATTGGCACCCTCAAAGTTGTAGTACCGATCACTGTATGGGCCTTTACCTGTGGCTCCACAGCCGTGGCATGTGTTGCGCCCATTCCAGCTGGTCTGGTAGTACCGGAATATTTTTTTCATCCAAGACCAATCTCCGCGGATTTCAACCACTGCAAAAACTGCTCCCTCGCAAACCTGTGTCCCGGCAAGGTGCTCCAAGGCTGGTGGCAACCGTTCACCACCTGCACCCACTGAAGCGTGGACCCCGGAGTATAACTGGTTGCAGCTCCATACTATTTCTCGAAGAACTCGGTTGAGGGTGAAATGATGCCACAGCCTGTCTTCTTCTATGCAGAATAGTAGCCATCGAGATCCCCGAACTGACTTTGGTCGCCACAAAGGTAGATTTAGATATAATCCGATGATGGATTCCTGTTTTCCATAGTTCATCTTCATTGTAGCACCGTCCCCGTAGATGCCCAAGGGGATGTGGGCTGATGATGCTTTGCTAAAAAGACTCCAAGGTTCATTGTTCTGCCTTGATCTATCCCAGAACTCTTGCACCTCTGACATTGGCACTCGCAACCCTGCGCCCCACATGTATTTCACAACGGAATGCGGGTCGAGAATTGGATACTCCTCCATGACATAGCTAGGATTGTCCTGAGTCTTGTCCTGCACTTTCACCGGGATGGATATCATACGAAGTGGAATATCTTCCTTAGACCAAAGTGATGGGGTCTAGCTATTGTAGCTTCAAGCCAGCACACATTGAAAGACCGATCTATGTTGCAAGAAGACCCTTTGACTTTTGAACACTTCAATTGGCAAGGAGCAACCCCAAGGCTGGCATATTTCCAAAAATTTCGGCAATAGTTGGCTTTCGACAACTTGCCAATTTTACGGACTAGAGGGTTCCCAGCTGATGGTGCCAATTCATCGACATCCTGGCTCAGTCATCGTCAGTCATCAATGGGCTTGAATACAAGATCTAGTAACCAAAGCAAGCAAGGGTTCAAATCCAATCTTTGACTTGGCATCCAAGGTCCTTGACATGTGCCTGAATGTCTTTCATCGCCTTGCGCACCGACACAACCTCAGAGCCCGCTGGCTTTTGGACAGGGGCAGGGTCGGGCTGGGATCCAATAGAAGAATCCAAGGAACATTAGAGCAGACTCCATCAATTGCTTCGATCAAAGTGTTGGAAGCTGAGGAAGAACCATGGCCTCCAACAGGAAAGGTTCAACAGCAATAGTGACTACTCCCACCAGTGTGTTCCAGTGGGCGTGTCCTCCTGGGTTGATTGAACTGACCCGACTGACGCTCTGTTTCATGTCAGTCGCATCTTCTTTTTATCGATAGTTTCTGTTCAGAGCTATCGGGCAGGCAGCGCAACCAGTTCTGCACCTAAAAGCACAGTCCTGGATATTGCACTCATGGATCCATGCAAAAGTCCGATCCAATATCTGCATAAATTGTTGATGCATGTTGATGCCCCAAGGCATGCGTGCAACTCACGCATAGCAGGCGAACCCCAGTGGCCGCTGTGGAGGGCTTGATTCAGACCCTCCAACCTTTGGTGGGCTCAGCACTTGTGCTAGCTAGTACCAGTGTCATGACCCAATCAAAACCTCCAAAGAGATGATAACAACTATCAAAATCTTGGGGTGCAAAGCCACCAATCACGACCAAGACAAAAACAAATAATCCTATTTGAGATTGCTACGTGCCAAAAAATCTTTGTACTGCTCTTGCAGCTTGTCAGACTTGGAAGACCACTCACTCATCTTCTTGTCCTACGTGGATGGCCATAAAACAGACCAACCATAGATCGATCAATATAGATCTATAGACGTTCATATATTTCTTTTTACTACGCTACCTAGTGGATTGCAAGCCCCACGTATTCACCAAGTCCTCACCACGGTCCACCAACTGCTGGATGTTGTCCCTCATGTCGCACAGCTTCTTCTTGAAGTCCTTGAGGTCTGACTCAATGGCCTTCCGAATGCTGTCCGACCTCCAGCCCGGAGCAGGGACATGTGCATTGGACTTGGAAGGGCCTGTCATCCCCCCACAGTTCTTGAAGTTTTGCGTGCAATGATCATGAGGTATAAACGAGCTTCGGCCAGGGTGTGATGGTTGGATTACTTAGCTAATCATCCCAAAGTGTTTTGTGTCTTGAAGAGTTTCGTGTCTTGAAGCGTGCATCCCAACGATTGAAGTGCACGTGTGTGTGTGTTATTATTACATTATTTGAACTATGTAAATCTTGAGTTGAAGGTAATTCTGCCTGAACAGTGCAAAAGTATCCTGGAACAGTAGGAATAGGAGGCTGATGTTGTATTCGTCTCAGGTCCAAACAGCTTCGACAGGCTTTGCTGCTTCTTCGAGGCTTGCTCAATTTTGGAATTGATGGAATTGACTGCCTTGCAAGTATGCGTGTGATGTATGTGTGTCCTGATCATGATTTGCATGTGCAGTGCACGCGCATGAATATAAGAAAACGGTACAATGACTGCATATATTATATGAGGCCTTCTTTCCCTTTGCAAGTAGCTCGCGGCGATCCTTCTCGATCTTTTGTTCTTGTTCTTTTTCTTTCTGTTTCGCTTCTTTTTCAAGGCGTTTAGTTTTTTGTTTTTCTGTTTCCTTCTTCTCTTTCTTCTTGTCTGATTTTTTTCCAGATTTTTTTTTCTTGTTTTCTACCTTCTTTGACTTCTTCTTCTTGGCCTGGGCAGCAAAAAGAAGGACTACAAGGTATATTGTTTCGGGAGGGCAAGGTTTGATGTGAATTGTTGACCTTACCTGACATGCTAAGTTGGCTTGGCCTTGTCATCCGATTCTGAAGTACTGCTGCTGCTGCTTTTGCTGCTTGATGCAGAACTCTTCTTTGATGATGCCGATGAAGATGCAGATGATGAACTGGTTGATGACGCTTTACGTTTCTTCTTGTCTTTCTTGGTTTTCTTTGATGACTTTCGACCCGTGTTCCCCTTCCTCCTAGAGCGCCCGCGCCCCACATCAGAGGCACCCTCATCGGCATCTACAGCCTGAAAAAGGCTGTCAAGTATCGAGTCCTCTTGGGTTTCCTCCCCCTCGTGGTCCCAGCAAAGGAACAAATAGAGTTCCTGGCAGGCAGCCCATATAAGATCAAGGTATATATAAGTAATATTATATATTGTTAAATTTGATGTTTTTCACAAGTGAAACCCCAAGCCTCTCGATCGCTGTCGGGATTCTTCTTCCATTGTTTCCCTTCCCCATCTGGATCTGCAAGCTTATCGTTGCAAATCTGATCGGCTATTTCCCAATTATTGTCATATTTGGCTGCGATTTGAGATCTGAGCATCCACTTTCGACAACCCTTTTTTCGTGTCAGCTTCGACTCACGAAGCTGAACAAGGAACTTTGAATTCACCCAGTTGCCGCCACAGCTTTCCCATTGCTCCTGGAGCAGGGCAAGCTTCTCCCGACCTTACACTCAATCTCAAAATCCACACGCTAATCCTAATCGGCAGTGGGATTATAGCAGGTGCCAATACACCAAGTGACAATATCTCGAATTTTTCCCTGCAGTTCTGATCTCACCGGGCGTCTCATGGCCTAAGAGCACCATGATCGATGTGTTTATTTATTTATGTGCGATGGGTAGCGCGATAGGTGTATATGTGGCACACGATTGCATCAAGCTGAGGTATAGGCTGGTCAATGACCTCGAGAATCGCATGTACCTTGCGTGTGCCTGTTTTTCGGCTGCTGTCTTTTCTCTTTTGGGTTTCTTGGCTGTTGGTTCATCTTCCTTGACATCAGGAGTGCTTTTTTCGGCTGGGGGATCTGCGCTCTTTGGGTTTGCAGCCTGTTCACTGCTGGAAGGCTGATCGTTCTTACCATTTGCAGCTGCCCCTCCTTTGTGTTGCTCATTTGTGGCAGGTGTCTTTTTTGGCTTGCCAGCTTTGCCTGTCCCTTGTGTGTCATGACCATTGTTGCTCTTGCTTGTATGATCCTTCTGCACCTGTGCGCTGTCTGGCTTGCTCTTGCTCCGGTGCCGCTTCAAAGGGATAGTTGCTGGAATTGTGCCAGGCTCATCAGCTGCACCCTGTTCTTGCTTATCTTGCTTTGTTTGCTTGACTTGCTTTGCTTGTTTATTTTTCTTCGCTTTACGCCGTGGTGCCTTCTTGCATGTCTCGGGTGTGTCGGGTGACTCAGCTTGCTCCTCAAGTGCTGCTGTTGCTGATCTTCCTAACCCTTCACCAACTGCTGCTGCTGTCTTGTCATGGTTTGCTTGCCTCATTGGTGTGGGAGTTGCTTGCTGCTTGACCATGCTCAATTTCCCTGGACGTGAGGCTGACGACTTGCCATCTTTTGCATCTTGAAGCTCTTGATCTAGATCGGATTGTGTTGCTGCCTTATTTGCTTTCTGCTGGGTGGTTGGCTTTGGCACTACTACGGCCTCGGGTGTCATCAGCTCACGCTTGGTTTGGCCAAAGCTGGACCGTGAACTCGCGCGCCTTCTGATTCGCTCTGTTGGTGTCACTGGTGGGGACGCTTCCACTGCAGAAGGAAGTTGTGATTTGCCCTTGTTGGTATTAAGCTGGCGTGCTAGAGCTAGGCCCCTCAAGGCGTTTGCACGGGCCTGCTCATCTGTTGCTGGAATTGTTGTGGCTGTACTGGTTGCACTCTTTCCTGTCAAAGATTGTCGATGATAAACATCGAAACGTGCACGTGTGCGCAAACAAAAGAACTGTATTATGTGTAGCTAATATAAATGAAGGTCCTCCAGTTGATGGTGTGGGTGGCTCCATGTCCAACCTTTCAGAACTCCAAACATTCATGATTCACTCACAACTTAAAACAAACAGCAGAAATGAGATATACCTGGCCTGGCCTTTGTTTTACTTTAGCCTTACGCTTCTGTGCCATCTTCAGCACTTCTTGCACTTTCGGGTCGACCATGATGATGTGCACAAGATCGCGCAAGGTTTGATCCACTGCACGGAAAGTGTTAACATAAAATATGTTGCACCATACTTCAAATCCACTTTTTGGACACAAACACAAAAATACTAATTTTTCAATGTGTTTTTTGAAACAGCTCTTCACGCGAAAAAACCGGTTTTCACGCTGTTTCACGCTGTTTCACGCTGTTTCACGCTGTTTCACGGCAATTTCACGCACATGTTTTTTCACATATTTGCATCTTTACATGTACTAGCACATCAAGCCAAAAGAAGAAGTTAATGCGATGTTTCTTGAACAAGTACCACACACATCCACACACTCTTTTTGATTTGCTCAGACCAGGTGGAACAGCAGGTCCCTAGCACCATAATGACTAAAGAGATCTAAAGAGCCTTCACCTCAACGCACGATTGGAACCCAGTTCTAACTCGGCTAGAAAGGAGGAAAGGTCTTATATGTTCTCTTGACAGTTCAATACTGGGCTGAAGGTGCGCCAAGGAGATTTTGAGGAATATCAAATTATGAATTTAGTTGTGCGTTCATCAACACACAACAGGGTGGTGCAAGTTCAGGTGGACCTGGAACCTACTCGGAAAACAGGTCCGCAACTGGCAAAACAGGTCTATACCGACCAGCGGTATACTCACCCCTCAAAAAGATTTGCACTTCTGATAAGTGAGCATGCCGCCATTTGTAGGGCCCCTGCGCACAAAACACACAGTGTACACTGAGCGCTGTAG